CCAAGGTAGAGAGATGATTCTTTCTAGCTCTTTCTTACAGAGCTAGAAATAGGAGCTGGGATTCAGGGATTGAAGGCATAATCCTGCCAGGTACAGAGCTAAGAACATGTACATATATTAGCTATTTTAGTCCTCACGATGTAGGTGTTATTATTCCCACTTTACAGAAGAGAAAATGAAGGTTTTGATGTCTTGTAATCTGGGCGTGGTGGCCTCTAGTCCATGGATGGAACATTGCTGGCTTGTGTACTGCTGTTTCCTGCTCCAGCATCCACAACAGACAACACTGAAGGGATAGCCTAGCTGCTCCACCTGGGCTGACCACTCCTCTCATTTTACAGATGAGGAAACTGAGACGTAAAGACTTCAAGGGCTTGTTCCAAATCACGCAGGAAGTTAATAATAGAGCCACGTTTGGAACTCAGTTGTCTTCTCAGTGAAGTCTGCTTCCCATTGGCCCAACGGTACCTACTTTCTACCCCTTCTCTACTGCATCATATAGAGAAAAAAGACTAGAGGGATTTTATTTTAATGGTGGCATTTAAAACATATAAAATTTTGCAGCTCCTCGCTAAGATTACATTAAGTCACAAAGTTATAAATCTGGAAATAGCAGATAGCAGTGTGACTAGCAGTGAAATTTACTTAGGATTTATTTAACTAGTTAGGTTAAAGTATTGTATTGACTAGCAGGGTGGTGATGAGGTTTTGCACAAAAAAGGAAGAGACTTAGTCTGCTTCTCCTTCTGTCACTTACCAGAATAGAGGCCTTGGGTCCCAAGAAGCCAAAGCTGCCATGTCCATGAAATGGGACCAATAGCACTGTGCTTGCCTTAAGAAGTTGCTATGGTGACCTCCCGTCCTGGTGCTAAGCAGTGATTCAAAGCTATGTGTTTCTACTTTCCACCAACAACTATAAAAATTGAAAGTCAGGAACAAAGTTCTTAAAGATTCTGTGAATGAGAATCATCACTTATTTCTCCTGAAAGAGTTAAAAAACAGAACAAAATAAGACAAACAAAACAAAGAGCTCTCAGGTGTTAGTCATTTTCTGGAAAATGCTATTTGAAAATCAGTACATTTTATGGCCCTCTTTGCAGAATTATGAATTAATATGTGTTCATAGCCTAAGGCCAAAATATCCCAGGATGCGGAAAAGTTGCTATGCATCTATGACTGTTCTCTAAGCTTTCATGGTAATTTGCATTCGCTGGGGAATCAAATGGATCTGTAACACAAAATTACATTAATTTATTAGTAAGTAACGGCATGTCTTAAGGAGATTCAAAGCGATCATGAGTCAAAAAATCTTTGGCGATTAGCATCGCAATGAATGTAAAAACGCGGCAGGGGTGGGGGGGCGTAGGTGGGTGTGGGTGGAAATGAAGGTCCTTTTCAGAGGTCATTTGCAAGAACATCTTATATATTTACATGGCACGTGGCCAAACTAGGAATTCTGTGTAGTCTGTGCAAGTGACAGTCATGTTAAAATTCAACAAGAAGAAACAATTTAAGAACCGACTTTAAAAGCAGCTTTTGGGAGAAGAAAGCAAATGAAACAAAGGAGTGATTGAAGTTAATACTTTTAAGATTACCTCAATAAGAAAAGAGTTGTTTAAAAATCCAATGTAAATCTGTTTCTTAAAGATTTAGGTGTACGGCTTAGTGTTCAGAAATGCTTTTGTGAAAGGATGAATCTACGTTTTCCAAAATGATCCAAATTATGTTTCAAGTTGTTGTGCTTAAACCTTGAAGTAGAAATAAAAATTCAGAAAAAGGTACATATGCTTGTCATGACTTGCTAATTAATTCACGATTTCTTCTGCTATCTCAGGACTTCCACCTACCTATAACTTAAAACTGTGGCTCTCGACTTTAGTATGCTTAGGAATAACAGAAAGAGCTCATTAAACACGGATATTCCAGGCCACCCCCCAATTTTGATTTGCTCAATTTAGGGTAATGCTCTGGAATCTGCATTTTAACAAGACCTACAAGAGGTTCTGATACAGGTGAACTGTAGCCCACACCTTGAGAAATACAGCCTTAGACCAATTTCCAAGGGTGAACTCTGAGTTGACACCTTTATGTTGGAGTGGCTGGTTGGATATAACATATGCTCTCCTATATTGTTCCTTCTTATGAGCATAAATCTTACCAAATCCCTGTGTCTGGTAGCACAGAGCCAGGACAGAAAAGAGTTCCTGACCTTGGGAAAATTTCCCAGTTTCCTCATATTTAAAATAAGAGAGTTGGACTAAATGCTGTCTAGACTCCTATGTAGTTCTAATAGTTTATATGCATATCTCCTGGCAAATATTTTGTAAAGATTATGACTCATGTGTTGGCCAATGTAGACGGAATGAGCCAGGAAAAAACAAAGATCAGTCTTTGGGTCATTAAATCAGTTAAAAAGATGAAATAAGATTTCCCCTCAGCCCCAACCTAAGGAGCTAGAAGGTCAATTAGATAATGAACTCTGTGCTTAAATTAAAAAAGATCTATGTTGTTTTCCTAAAACTTTATGCAACTGTCTACATATAATTATCAGAAATTAGATGTATTGATTGCTAAGTTGCCATCACGGTGTGGATGGTTGACAATTAGTATGAATAAAAATCATGCTTAGAATCTTTTTAAATAATCCTGTCACCAACAGAGTAAACACAACCAACGACGTCATTTGTGTTACAAATAATTGAATTCAGAAGGTTCCCATTTGACTAACTCTACGTTAAGTGAAAAACCAATTTCTTTGCTTCATGCTATTGAAATAGTTTTTTTTATATGATATAGGGACTGTGAGATTAAGTTACAGAAAACAATAGTAGGCTATTCAAACAGAAACACTGGAAAAAACTCAGTATTAAAGAAATCACGACTTAACTTTTTTGGTGTGCATTTTACACAAGGTCATACATGGTACCTTAATGATATAAATGGAGTAAAAAAAAATCTGTTGGTTGAGGGTTGATTCCAGTCATAAATACTAATTTACTCTATATTTCCCTAAAACTACTATAGGTAGCAATAAAAAAATTACCCATTCTTATGATTATTTATTTAAAACAACAGCATGTTATGTAATACTGGTACTTAATATTTTTAAAAAATGTACTGCTTTTAAGACATTTGCAAATAGCTGTAGCAAAGCCTATGAATATAAGGTAGAATCTGTTTTGTTTTGTTTTCTTTCAGCAGTGGTGGTGGTGGGGGAGTTTGATCTCCTCAATTGGACTGTAAACTTAAGAATAAGGACCATACTCTTTATGTTATTTCTAACGCCAACTCCCTGCCTCTACCCTACCTGCCCTGGTGTTCACCATATGTTAGATTCTTAATAAAACTGTTTGATTAAATAAGATGGTTATGCAACATTATTTGCAATTTAAAGTTTTTAATGGGAAATATTTCCTCATCACAATTCTCCAGGTGTGGTACGGAATCACTGTTAGGATCTAATATTTCCATTTGCAACTGTACACAGTCATCCCAACATATTCAGAAGCTTCCTTAAAAGGAGAGAAAACCCAAAAAACAAATGACGAGATATATTAAAAGGCTTTATTTACAATAGAGAAATTTTACAAATATAGTTTTTAAAAATTATGTGTCGATCTATCATTTCCCATAACATTAGAGATTTATATAAAGTTGGAAATGACAGAATGGATTTAAGTACAAATCAAAAACAATCAATGGAAAGAACTGGTAGTACATATGAAGGCATCATGACAAACATCACTGAGTTCTGTAAACTGCCACACAACTTATATGTGTAATATTAATTGCACGACGTATCCCAAACAAATGCAGAAACACAAAATTAAGTGCTATTTTAATTATTCACCTTTTGGGATGTGAAAACATATGTAAACTTAATTGCACAGTTTTTGCTGAAAATGAATGAAAGACAGCAGTTACCTAAGGACTTCAGTTGTTTAAAATAATTAGTGCAAAATATAACTTTAATTAAATTACATCACCATAATATTAATCTCTTATCTTGTTTACATTTTTGGTGTTCTGGGTTTTGTTAAAATATCCAAGTTCTAGAATTGAAATACCTTTGTTCTTGCCACTGGCCGAGCAACACGCAGTACATTCTTCTTGCCTATTTATTCCAGAATACAAAAGGTACGTCATAGTGCAGTGCGTACGTACAACTTGATTTTAATATCCTATCTGCTGCAGAAATACCTATCAGCTTGTGCTCTTTCAAATCAGATTGAAAAGCAAAGAAAATAAATTAATTTAAATTGCTAGTCCAAGGACATTCATGTGAAAATTATAATCTAAATACATATGGCCCAATTTTAACAAGAATCTTCTATATTTTGCCTTTAAGTCCTGGGAATAGCAATCACGACGTACTAAGGGATCTTTTTTTCACTTACTAATTTTATTGATTTATTGTTTGAATGAATAATATTGAAAAAAAGGGCAGGTCACACAAGGTGGACTAAGTCTATTGAGATCTAAGAAAATAACTGTCTTAAAAAATATTAGGTTGAATCACATGAAATTGCTGATACTGAACAATCTTTAAACTAGAAATGCCTCAATTTCACGTGCTTCAGCCTAATCCATGGGGTTGCACTGATCTATTTGACCACTGTAGTTGAAAATGCAGGTGGTCAAAATCTTTGTACCTCAGTATATGCATCATCATATTAGCCCTTTCATGGGAATATATATAAAATATGAACAAATATGGTAAGAAAACACAAGGTGTCACCAGATCTATTTTTGGGAAAACCATTCATATCTCAAAAAAGGCTTTGAAGAGTCATGTAATCATAATTATTTTGAGCTGCTATAGGATTGTAGGGGATTGGGAGTGTCCATTCCTATATATTACTTCTAAGTGGAAATCGCTATGTTGAATTTAACCAGACAAAATACACTACATCCTAATTTGACCTAAAAGTTTATTAGATTTTTCTCAATTGACCATGAATAGATACACTGGCAAAAATTCTTTCAGAGTTAAATCCTGCTTTCATAAACTGAGATGAAATAATTTACTACATTTGAGAAAGGGCTCTTTTCAAATCTGAAAAACCTGAACGAAATGTAATGGTTTCTTTTTTTCGAGAAAAAAGAATTAAAGATGAAATGCAAACAAAAAACCATATGAAATACTCACCCTCTCTTCAGAGAGAGCCCCAATTTCTTCATATATTCAGATAAAAGCAAAAGCTAACACACTAAAAGTTATACAATTTCCCTTTAAAAAGTATAATTCGGTTAACAGCAGAGCTCTGAAAAACTGGAAAGCTCACTTCTCTGTGTGGTAGAGAATGGAAGAAATTAACCAGTACATGATTCAGAGATGACACAGGGCATTTAAAGTAAACCCTGAGAACTAATTCCCAAATTAGGAAACACTAATATAAGTGACCAACAAAAATATACCATGGATCCAATGAAATGAGGTCAAGAGGAGATGACCCTTCTGGGATGACATTCTAATTTGAATTAAAATGTGAGTAAAGTATTTTAGAAGACATTCTATCAAATAATGATAGACCTGCATAAGGAGGCTTGTCACAGTTATAAGATCTGTCTCTGGTGGATAGACAAACCAGATTAACACGAAATTGAAAAGGAAAAAGCTTTTTTATTATTTAATTTATTATTATGGCTTTTTGCAACATGGCAAAACATTACAGCTTAAAGCAGACACCATCTCCTCATAGAGGAGGAAAAAGTTTTGCAGTCAAATCAAAATTGTAATTAAGAGGTCATTGGTATACCATTCTATTTAGTTTAATGAAAATGATACTACACCTTCATGAACTCCAGAGATAAAAGATTACTTAAAACAAACAAACAAACAAAAAACCATGTGATTCACTGAATGAATAATAAAGGCTACAATAAGGAATTTAGGTCCATCTATGCCTATGATAATAAACATAAAAGACTGCAAAACAATTTTAAAACTTAGAATAATCACAGACCTATTAATAAAAATTCATCATATGCCTGATCACCAGAAAAGGAATTATTAAGGTATGCAGTGAAGGGAATGGAGGAGAGTAAAATATAAAATGTCTTTTTATTTCTCATTGACTTCAACTTTCTTTATATTCCTAGAGAGTACAGGGAGAAGATGTGCCTCGGTATTGAAGATCCAGTGTTCCAGTGGAAGTAGATCGTCATCAGAAAATATTAAGTACAAATATCTGGAGAGAGAAACATGGGTATGTGAGGCCTGAGAGACCCTGTCAGCCAGTGAAACCACAAAGAGACAGAAAAAAAACACATCAATGTCTCCATTCATCTTATGGGAGAATCATGGACAACCGTCAAGTATAGCAAAACCTTAAGGGGTATACTCAATGCCGAAGAAAGAAGCTGCTCTGTGCTTTGGTCCCCATGTACGAGAACCATACAAAGCAGTCCCAAGTTGTCGAACTTACATGATGATGAAAACACACCTGCAATCACTGCCGTGCACGTAGAATGGCATTCGGAAGCAGTCATGCTTGATGTTATTTGAATGTGTTCATGATAAACACAACTAGAAAGAAGATCTCTTCAGGTATCTTAGTCACATACAACCAGAATAATTTTTACTTACTTTAGTGTTTCTGCCAGGAAGAAACTCTGCTGCACATCATCATAGCTCTCCTTGTGGAAGTAAACATCCCTGAGGCCTGAATAACCTCCTTTCACTCTGCAGTGTTTCTCCAAGGCCTAAATCACAATGAGGAGGGAAAAAAAATGGTCACATTCCAGTAAACTGACTGTCACAAATTTTTACCATTAGATTGTCACATTTAACTAAAATAAGGATTCAAATGGAATGATAGATTGCAATAGTTTCAGGTGAAAATTTAAAAAACCATAACATGTAAATGCAAATAAAGTATGAAAAGTTAAAGGACATATGGACGGTATATTTCATCTAATTGGAAACACTTCTACATTTAGTTCTGGAATTTCAGTGATTTTTACCATTTCTTTTTACGGTCTAGAGCAGGATGCATCAACTACAGACCACAAGCTATATCCAGCCTGCTTTTTGTTTTTGTAAGTAAGGTATTATTGAACCACAGCCACACTCACTTGTTTACATATTGTGTGTGGCTGTTTTTTCACTACAATGGCAGAGTTGAGTAGATGCATAGGGCCCCCAAGCCCAATTCTCTCTGGCCCTTTCAGAAAAAGTTTGCTGACCCCTGGTCTAGAGAGATTGTTCATGTCAACTGGGATTCTAAACCGCTGGTTGAGAAAGTGCACTGGAACCAAAACAGCTGCTACTATCATCAGAATATCTTATTTTTAAAAAATTGACTGGAGTACTGAGTGATATTGGTGACTGACAGATATAAAAGAGAAAATGGAAAGCAGTGAAAAAAACATGGCTGGTATCCATTTCTGAAATACATCTTTCTTTTCTTTAGTCTGAGATGGAAGAAAGATGGGATGAAACCACTGGTAACTACGAGGAGAGAAATGAGCCTACATTTCTACAGCTGCCTGACTACAATGAGTACTACAGTCAGAGATGGGAAGAGACATGGGTTGGGCAGTGTGGGAACGAAAATTTAGGTAACACCTAAAATAACTCGCCTTCCATTCTGTCAGCTGCTGCTAACCTGACTCCTCTTTGTATTTGGAAATTACATTGGTTTGCTTTGCTGGTTACCAGGCATAGTCATCTCCAGGAAAGTTATTTTCTATTCACCACATCCTATTAATTCTAATAACTAAAAGGTCAAATAAAGATTTCCACTGTATACAAACTGTCACTGGAAACCTGGTTCTAATTCATAGAATGTGGACAAAAATAATAAAGTAAGTGTAAGCCTAAGCCCCTTAAAATTTTTAATGAGATAAAGAAAACACAGGAAACATGAAAAAAATGTTACTCTTAGGTTCTCACGTCATTATTCATTTATTTTTCAGTTTTCTTTTACAGATCACAACCCTGTTCCACTTTTTTTATGTGCATAATTACATCATATTTTCCTCCCATTTAGCTCAACTACCAAGATATGGCATAGGTCCTGCCATGTTAGTTGAGAAAAATCTTCACTGGCTAGAAAAGGGTTTTGGAGGAAAGCACGGCTCTAAGCATGTGGAGCCCAGAAAACGTGGGACGGATGAGGCAAAGGCAGGGAGCAGGAATGTGGTGCTGAGAGCTCAGCTTCCATCTGCAGACACTGATAATGAGGATATTGATTCTGCACCCTGGGGCTGGAGGGCAGAAGGGAGAGAGTATGGGGCCCAGAGAAGAAGCATTTAATTACCAGGCGAAAGAAAATCTAACTGGCAGGCTATGTGAATAAAAAACACCCATCTCCTGGTTTGGTACTGTTTAAAAGCCCCGGGGAATGTAAGAACAATTAACTTAAAAAAAATCTTCGATTATATTCTTAGTTTCAGACAAAGAGCTAAGTGGGGGAAAAGCCTGAAGAAAGGAACTTCCAGGTCTTATTATATTTTTCCTTCCTTCTTTTTTGATAACAGTTCTTTTTGATAAAAAGTCATATACCAGATACATGGAGTAGGCCAAAAATTATTTATAAAAAAGGAAAAAACCCCCAAGATTTAGAAGAAATGGGTAAATTTGTTATTACTGAACATAATGAAATCCTATTTCTAGACATCTCCTTAAAAAAAAGATTTTATCCACAGATGTTTTTCTTGGTTTGTCCCTTGAAGTTTTTTGGTAATAAAGAAATAAGCTAAAGAGAGGGCCAGGCATGATAACAGCTAACCCTCCCTCCTGTAGAAATTTCTATAAGCTCCTTCTTTTATTATAGAAAAAAGAGTTGTTTTGGGGGTAGGCACTGCCCAAACGTTTTTCATCTTTTCAGATCACCTCCACTCATTCTTTTTCTCCCCCAATCCTGATGTGGTGAACCAGAGTAGTCAAGAAGACAATCTAACGTTTTAGAGGTGGGGGCCGAATCCCAGCTCCAGACTCCCTAGCTGCGGCCTCAGTTTCCTGGACCCAGGCAGCATGCCTTTTCTCAACATGAGGTTGTCCTGAGAAAAAAACTCAAGACTAGTCCAGAAGATGGCAGAGGAGTAAGATGTGGAGATCACCTTCCTCCCCACAAACACATCAAAGATATATCCACACATGGAACAACTCCTACAGAACACCCACTGAACGCTGGCAGAAGACCTCAGACCTCCCAAAAGGCAAGAAACTCCCCACATACCTGGGTAGGGCAAAAGAAAAAAGAAAAAACAGAGACAAAAGAATAGGGATGGGACCTGCACCTCTGCGAGGGAGCTGTGAAGGAGGAAAGGTTTCCACACACTAGGAAGACCCTTCGCAGGCGGAGACAGGGGTTGGCTGGGTGGAAGCTTTGGAGCCACGGAGGAGAGCACAGCAATAAGGGTGCAGAGGGCAAAGCGGAGAGATTCCTGCACAGAGGGTCAGCGCCGACCAGCACTCACCAGCCCGAGAGGCTTGTCTGCTCACCTGCCAGGGTGGCGGGGGCTGGGAGCTGAGGCTCAGACTTCGGAGGTCAGATCCCAGGGAGAGGACTGGGGTTGGCTGCGTGAACGCAGCCTGAAGGGGGCTAGTGCGCCAGAGCTAGCCAGGAGGGAGTCCGGGAAAAAGTCTGGATCTGCCTAAGAGGCAAGAGACCATTGTTTTGGGGTGCGTGACGAGAGGGGATTCCTTCCCTATCTGTCCACAGAAGGCAGCAGAGCACTGCCTAAACAAGCTCCAGAGACGGGCATGAGCTGCAGCTATCAACTCGGACACCAGAGATGGGCTTAAACGCTAATGCGGCTGCTGAGGCCGCCAAGCTGTGTGTGAGCACAGGTCACTAGCCACACCTCCCTTCCCAGGAGCCTGTGCAGCCCGCCCCTGACAGGGTCCTGTGATCCAGGGACAACTTCCCCGGGAGAACACACTGTGCGCCTCAGGCTGTTGCAACGTCATGTCGGCCTCTGACACTGCAGGCTCGCCCCGCATTCCGTACTCCTCCTTCCCCCGGGTCTGAGTGAGCCAGAGCCCCGAATCAGCTGCTGCTTTAACCCCGTCCTGTCTGAGCGAAGAACAGATGCCCTCCGGCGACCTACACGCACAGGTGGGGCCAAATCCAAAGCTGAGCCCCGGGAGCTGTGCGAACAAAGAAGAGAAAGGGAAATCTCTCTAGCAGCCTCAGGAGCAGTGGATTAAAGCTCCACAATCAACTTGATGTACCCTGCATCTGTGGAATACATGAATAGACAACGAATGAACCCAAAATTGAGGCGGTGGACTTTGGGAGCAACTGTAGACTTGGGGTTTGCTGTGTGCGACTGACTTGTTTCTGATTTTTATGTTTATCTTAGTATAGTTTTTAGTGCTTCTTATCATTGGTGGATTTATTGGTTTGGTTGCTCTTTTTTTTTTTTTACTTAATTTTTTTATTTTAATAATTAAAAAAAATATTTTAATTATTTAATTTAATTTAATTTATTATTATTATTTTCTTTCTTTTTTTCCCTCCCTTTTCTTCTGAGCCATGTAGCTAACAGGGTCTTGGTGCTCTGGCTGGGGATCAGGCCTGAGCCTCTGAGGTGGGAGAGACAAGTTCAGGACACTGGACCACCAGAGATCTCCAGGCCCCACATAATATCAATCAGCGAGAGCTCTTCCAGGGATCTCCGTCTCAATGTTACGACCCAGTTCTACCCAACGGCCAGCAAGCTCTAGTGCTGGACGCCCCATGCCAAACAACTAGCAAGAGAGGAACACAAACCCACCCATTAGCAGAGAGGCTGCCTAAAATCATAATAAGGTCACAGACACCCCAAAACACACCACTGGATGCAGCCCTGCTACCAGAAAGACAATATCCAGCCCCACCCACCGAACACAGGTGCCAGTCCCCTCTACCAGGAAGCCTACACAACCCACTGAAGCAACCTTACCCACTGGGGGCAGACACCAAAAACAGCAGGAACTACAAAAATTCAGTCTGTGAAAAGGAGACCCCAAACACAGCAAGTTAAGCAAAACAGGAAGAAAGGGAAATATGCAGCAGAGGAAGGAGCAAGGTAAAAACCCATCACACCAAACAAATGAAGAGGAAATAGGCAGTCTACCTGAAAAAGAATTCAGAGTAATGATAGTAAAGATGATTCAAAATCTTGGAAACAGAATGGAGAAAATACAAGAAACGTTTAACAAGGACCTAGAAGAAATAAAGAGCAAACAAACAATGATGAACAACACAATAAATGAAATTAAAAATTCTCTAGAATGAATTAATAGCACAATAACTGAGGCTGAAGAACGGATAAGTGACCTGGAAGACAAAATTGTGGAAATAACTATTTCAGAGCAGAATAAAGACAAAAGAATTGAGGACAGTCTCAGAGATCTCTGGGACAACATTAAACACACCAACATTCGAATTATAGGGGTCCCAGAAGAAGAAGAGAAAAAGAAAGGGAGTGAGAAAATATTTGAAGAGATTATAGTTGAAAACTTCCCTAATATAGGAAAGGAAATAGTCAATTAAGTCTAGGAATCACAGAGAGTCCCATACAGGATAAACACGCCAAGACACATATTAATCAAACTATCAAAAATTAAGTACAAAGAAAAAATATTAAAAGCAGCAAGGGAAAAGCAACAAATAACATACAAGGGAATCTCCATAACATTAACAGCTGATCTTTAAGCAGAAACTCTGCAAGCAGGAAGGGTGTGGCAGGACATATTTAAAATGATGAAAGGGAAAAACCTACAACCAAGAGTACTCTACCCCACAAGGATCTCATTCAGATTCCACGGAGAAATTAAAACCTTTACAGACAAGCAAAAGATAAGAGAATTCAGCAGCACCAAACCAGCTTTACAAGAAATGCTAAAGGAACTTTTCTAGGCAGGAAACACAAGAGAAGGAAAAGACCTACAAAAACAAACCTCAAACAATTAAGAAAATGATACTAGGAACATACATATTGATAACTAGCTTAAATGTAAATGGATTAAATGCTCCAACCAAAAGACACAGACTGGCTGAATGGATACAAAAACAAGACCTGTATATATGCTGTCTACAAAAGACCCACTTCAGACCTAGGGACACATACAGACTGAAAGTGAGGGGATGGAAAAAGATATTCCATGCAAATGGAAATCAAAAGAAAGCTGGAGAAGCAATTCTCATATCAGACAAAATCGACTTTAAATTAAAGACTATTACAAGGACAAAGAAGGACCCCACATAATGATGAAGGGATCAATCCAAGAAGAAGATATAACAATTGTAAATATTTATGCACAGAACATAGGAGCACCTCAATACATGAGGCAAATAATAACAGCCATAAAAGGGGAAATCAATAGTAACACAATCATAGTGGGGGACTTTGACACCCCACTTTCACCAATGCACAGGTCATCCAAAATGAAAATAAATAAGGAAACACAAGCATTAAATGACACATTAAACAAGATGGACTTCATTGATATTTATAGGACATTCCATCCAAAAACAACAGAATACACTTTCTTCTCAAGTGTTCATGGAACATTCTCCAGGACAGATCATATCTTGGGTCACAAATCAAGCCTTGGTAAATTTAAGAAAATTGAAATCATATCAAGTATCTTTTATGACCACAATGCTATGAGACTAGATGTCAATTACAAGAAAAAAACTGTAAAAAATACAAACACATGGAGGCTAAACAATATGATACTAAATAACCAAAAGATCACTGAAGAAATCGAAGAGGAAATCAAAAAATACTCAGAAACAAATGACAACAAAAACACAATGACCCAAAACCTACGGGATGCAGCAAAAGCAGTTCTAAGAGGGAAGTTTATAGCAATACAATCCTACCTCAAGAAACAAGAAAAGTCTCAAATAAACAATCTAAATTTACACCTAAAGAAATTAGAGAAAGAAGAACAAAAAAAACCCAAGTTAGCAGAAGGAAAGAAATCATGAAGATCAGATCAGAAATAAATGAAAAAGAAGTGAAGGAAACAATAGCAAAGATCAATAAAACTAAAAGCTGGTTCTTTGAGAAGATAAACACAATTGATATACCATTAGTCAGACTCATCAAGAGAAAAAGGGAGAAGACTCAATTCAATAGAATTAGAAATGAAAAAGAAGTAACAACTGACACTGCAGAAATAAAAAGGATCATGAGAGATTACTACAAGCAACTCTATGCCAATAAAATGGACATCCTGGAGGAAATGGACAAATTTTAGAAAAGCACAACCTTCTGAGACTGAACCAGGAAGAAATAGAAAATATAAACAGACCAATCACAAGTAATGAAATTGAAACTGTGATTAAAAATCTTCCAACAAATAAAAGCCTAGGATTAGATGGCTTCACAGGTGAATTCTATCAAACATTTAGTGAAGAGCTAACACCTATCCTTCTCAAACTCTTCCAAAATACAGCAGCGGGAGGAACACCCCAAACTCATTCTATGAGGCCACCATCACCCTGATACCAAAACCAGACAAAGATGTCACAAAAAAAGAAAACTATAGGCCAATATCACTGATGAACATAGATGCAAAAATCCTCAACAGAATACTAGCAAACAGAATCCAACAGCACATTAAAAGGATTATACACCATGCTCAATTGGGTTTTAACCCAGGAATGCAAGGATTCTTCAATAAACACAAATCAATCAATGTGATACACCATATTAACAAACTGAAGGAGAAAAACCATACGATCATCTCAAGAGATGCAGAAAAAGCTTTCAACAAAATTCAACACCCATTTATGATAAAAACCCTGCAGAAAGTAGGCATAGAGGGAACTTACCTCAACATAATGAAGGCCTTTTATGACAAACCCACAGCAAACAACATTCTCAATGGTGAAAATTGAAACAATTTCCACTAAGATCAGGAATAAGACAACGTTTTCCACTCTCACTGCTGTTATTCAACATAGTGGTGGAAGTTTTAGCCACAGCAATCAGAGAAGTAAAAGGAATCCAAATCGGAAAAGAAGAAGTAAAACTGTCACTGTTTGCATATGACATGATACTATACATAGAGAATCCTAAAGATGCTACTAGAAAACTACTAGAGCTAATCAACGAATTTGGTAAAGTAGCAGGATACAAAATTAATGCATGGAAATCTCTTGCCTTCCTATACACTAATGATGAAAAATCTGAAAGGGAAATTAAGGAAATACTCCCATTTACCACTGCAACAAAAAGAACAAAATACCTAGGAATAAACCTACCTAATGAGACAAAAGACCTGTATGCAGAAAACAATAAGACACAGATGAAAGAAATTAAAGATGATACAAAGGGATGGAGAGATGTATATACCATGTTCTCAGACTGGAAGAATCAATATTGTGAAAAAGACTCTACTACCCAAAGCAATCTACAGATTCAAGGCAATCCCTATCAGACTACCAATGGCATTTTTCACAGAACTAGAACAAAAAATTGCAAAATTTCTATGGAAACACAAAAGACCCTGAATAGCCAAAGCAATCTTGGGGAAGAATAATGGAGCTGGAGGAATCAGGCTCCCTGACTTCAGACTATACTACAAAGCTACAGTAATCAAGACAGTATGGTACTGGCACAAAAACAGAAAGATAGATCAATGGAACAGGATAGAAAGCCCAGAGATAAACCCATGCACATATGGTCACCTTATTTTTGATAAATAAGGCAAGAATATACAATGGAGAAAAGATAGCCTCTTCTATAAGTGGTGCTGGGAAAACTGGACAGCTATATGTAAAAGAATGAAATTAGAACACTCCCTAACGCCAAACACAAAAATAAAATCAAAATGGATTAAAGACCTAAATGTAAGTCCAGACAGTATAAAACTCTTAGAGGAAAACATATAACACTCTCTGACATAAATCACAGTAAGATTCTTTTTGACCCACCTCCTAGAGAAATGGAAATAAAAACAAAAATAAACAAATGGGACCTAATGAAACTTAAAAGCTTTTGCACAGCAAGACGAGAAGACAACCCTTAGAATGAGAGAAAATATTTGCAAACGAAGCAACTGACAAAGGATTAATCTCCAAAATATACAAGCAGTTCATACAGCTCAATATCAAAAACACAAACAACCCAATCCAAAAATGGGCAGAAGATCTAAATAGACATTTCTCCAAAGAAGATATACAGATTGCCAACAAACGCATGAAAGGATGCTCAACATCACTTATCATTAGAGAAATGTAAATCAAAACTACAATGAGGTATCACCTCATCCCAGTCAGAATGGCCATCATCAAAAAATCTACAAACAATAAATGCTGGAGAGGGTGTGAGAAAAGGGAACTCTCTTTCACTGTTGGTGGGAATGTAAATTGATACAGCCACTGTGGAGAACAGTATGGAGGTTCCTTAAAAAACTAAAAATAGAATTACCATATGACCCAGCAATCCCACTACTGAGCATATACCCTGAGAAAACCATAGTTCAAAAAGAGTTATGTACCACAATGTTCACTGCAGCACTATTTACAATAGCCAGTACATGGAAGTAACCTAAGTGTCCATCGACAGATGAATGGATAAAGAAGATGTGGCACATACATACAATGGAATATTACTCAGCCATAAAAAGAAATGAAATTGAGTTATTTGCAGTGAGGTGGATGGATGGACCTAGAGTCTGTCATGCAGAGTGAAGTAAGTCAGAAAGAGAAAAACAAATACTGTATGCTACTACATATGTATGGAATCTAAAAAAAAAAAAAAAAGGTTCTGAAGAACCTAGGGGCAGGACAGGAATAAAGATACAGACGTAGAGAATGGACTTGAGGACACGGGGAGGGGGAAGGATAAGCTGGGACGAAGTGAGAGAGTAGCATTGACACATATACACTACCAAATGTAAAACAGATAGCTACTGGGAAGCAGCTCCATGGCACGGGGCAATCAGCTTGGTGCTTTGTGACCACCTAGAGGGGTGGGATAAGGAGGATGGAAAGGAGATGCAAGAGGGAAGAGATATGGGAATATATGTATACATATAGCTGATTCACTTTGCTATACAGAAGAAACTAACACAACATTGTAAAGTAATTATACTCCAATAAAAATGTTTAAAAAAAACGAATAAAACTCAAGATGAAGACACACTTAGCACAGTGACAGGGGCCTTTCAGATGTTTAGAGAGGCCTAGCTATTTTTATTCTTTGAGGCTTTTGGTAAGTTAAAATGAAAAAAGGCGGCGAGATGCTGAAGAGGCATTTTTAACTTTCAAAAAATGAAAAACCTTCATGTCAAGTCTAAATTTTAAGACTTTAGGGATGTGAAGCTGGGGACAAGCAGCTCTCCTGGGCCCCCCATAATAGGCCCTGGTTTTACAGTTTTTCCGCAGTGGAAGTGGCTATGTATCCAGGCTGGTTAGTCTGATCAGAACATCATTTCACTACAGTCTGTTCTGGGGCTCTCAGCCTCTGGGCAAGAGTTCCTCTAAAAACAGAGCATGAGACAAGGATTGGATGCAGGGAGATTTTGGGGGAGGTGATATCAGGAAGTGAGTGAGTGAGTGGGGAGAGTGAAACAAGGAAGGGAGAAGGGCCAGTGAAATACACGTTGAGCAGGTCACTGCTGTGTGCATGGGGGGGCTTGCTCCTGCTGGAAACCCTCTAAGGAACCATCTAGAATGCATCTCAGAATTATTCTTCAGAGGAGCAAGACTGGATTAGTTATCCATCAACTCTAAAACCTCACTTGGCTGAGGGCTGCCCCTGGGGCTGCAGACTCTCCCAGGCTTCCCAGACCACAGCCAGCTGCCTGTGAAGGGGCTCTGAGTCAGCACAGTTGACAAGACTGGGTGCTGGAAGTCATGCTGCCCACAGACCAGGGTGCCGCTCACTGCACCAGTAGCTGAGACACAGGGTGGGCTGCGGAGATGGGACACAGGAAAAAAAGGGCTGCCATATGTTCTCAGTCTATGATCTCTGTGCTTTACAAAAGGCCAAGAGCCCCTAGCACTCCTCCCTCCCCACTACACCTCAAGTTCTAACAGAAGTTATTGATACTACTGGCAAAAACAAGGGGAATTCCTGTGTTGTGACAAGTTAACAATTTGACATCATATGCTACACTAAAAGGGGTTAATAGATAAAAATCCTAACACATCAAACCAACCTTATTACCCTACAAAAAAACAATGCACTCCCCCCTCAAAGAACCAAGCAAATGGAATCTTCCTGCCCACATGACAGTATTTACTTACTTCTTCCACTTTTGATCAATTCTGTTATATACTTTTCACACTTTAACGTCTCTAAAATTGGCAATGTCATAATTTAATTGGTAGTGTTGTGCTTTCTTAATGGCATATAAAATGGTGTTTCTTATCAGTTATGGTGTTTTATATTTGATGAAATATGTTATTACTGATATTTTCAATTTAAACTGATTTGCAAGCTGAGTATTAACCTTAATTTCTTTGCTGGCCTATTGAAGACCAAAATAATTCCCAATCACCAAGGCTTAGATGAACCTCAATTTTAATATACTTTTTTCAGAGGAAAAAACATAAACTTAAAGAAACTGAAATTACAACTGACTAACCATAATTAGAAAATTATGCCAAAAAAAACAGGCCTAAAAAATTGCTATTACTTAAAATGGTTGACAACTGGTTATAAGACACACATTAAATGAAGAGGATTAATTAATTAATAAGATTCATCAATGGCTTCCTGAGATATCAGATAAATTTTACATAAAGGCAATATTCATCTTAGATTTCCCAAGAGAAGTTATTCCTAATGGTTTTAAAAGACAGATAACTTTCTAACAAAGAGTGCCAGACAATAAGAGAATGTAATTAAAGCATTTGCTTGTTCTTATCCCCTGAATTCCCTCTCACTCCTTTTGGAATAATAGCTCTTAAAATTAGACGTTGTGGACTTCCCTGGTAGCGCAGTGGTTGGAAGTCCGCCTGCTGATGCAGGGGATGCGGGTTTGTGCCCCAGTCCGGGAGGATCCCACGTGCCGCGGAGCAGCTGGGTCCGTGAACCCGCGTACCGCAAAAAAGAAAAAAAAAAATAGACGTTGTTTGATGTATATCCTGAAGGGCGCCTCTGCTGGCATTCAGCACACAAAGTGTTCAACAGATTAGTTTAGGAAGATGATACACCATATTCAGCAGGAAGAGACTCAAGAAGTGACAAAGACAATTCAAATAACACACTGGACAGATATGAAGCTTATGGATATTCAGAGAACCCTGAGACTAGCGTCGGAATATTCTTGTACAAAGTAGCTCTTCTACAGGTACTTTCTAAAATTTAGCTCTAAGTAACTCTAACTAAAAGCATATTTTACCATTTTCATGCCCAAAGAGTAAAAGAAGCAATCACATAGTGGTTTCTTGAAACAGAGAGCAGGTTGGGGTAACTATTCCCAAGTTGCCCGTAATCCTTTGTGGAATTAACCGATCACCTTTTTTATAGTCATGAGAACTTAATTTTATAATATGCCTTTTTAGATTTCTCCTTCAACACCAGAGTAGGTATATTTATATCACTGTTACATAAAGCAAAGCTGAAGCCAGGGATATAGGATGACTTAACTGAAAACACTCAATCTTGAATGGAAAAATGACTGGTCAAAACTTTAAAAATCATAGAAGAGTTGATATGCTAGATTTATAGGTATGACTGAACATTTTTTCCACAGACATTTTTCTTTCTTTTTTTTTTTTTTTTTGCGGTACGCAGGCCTCTCACTGTTGTGGCCTCTCCCGTTGCGGAGCACAGTCTCCGGACGCACAGGCTCAGCGGCCACGGCTCACGGGCCCAGCCGCTCCGCGGCATGTGGGATCTTCCCGGACTGGGGCATGAACCCGTGTCCCCTGCATCGGCAGGCGGACTCTCAACCACTGCGCCACCAGGGAAGCCCCCACAGACATTTTTCTATAAGAAACATAAGCAAACTAAAACGTCACCTCTACAGCTTCCCAGGCCCATTTCCTGTATTTTGGATCATGAGTCAGTCGCCACATGTACATGTAAGTCTCAACAACTTCTGGCCTTAGGATGTAGTATTTTTCATTTTGCCTCGTAGCAATGGCTTCAACACCGCCATCGAATCTGAAAGCTTCTGGTCCCAGTTTCACAACTAAAGGAGATGCAATGGAGGACAAAGGTTATTGTCCTAGACAATGTTTAGTGTCTATAACTTAAATGAAACTAGAAAGTACCTTACAACATTCAAGAGAGGTGTCAAAACAATCATTTTAAGGAATAATTATAAACACTGTATAATAAGCAATATTCAATATACCTTTATAATTTATTCATTGAAAAGAGTCCATTTTAGAAAATGGTAATGATCCCTTATTTTCTTTCATTTAACCACCATTTACTGAGCACCCACGGGGTAGGTGCAAAGCACCACCTTATTAGTGAGCTAGAAAATCAGTGGTTGAGAATTCTAAGTCATTATGTCATAAAGGTTATTTAGTATTTGTACATCAAACTCCTATTTTTATAAGAAGGCCTCCAGACTCATCATATATTTCATGGAGATTCTGGGAAGATTAATAATGGTTTATAGCATACCAAGTTTCTTTTGTACTGGGACAGAGACTCTCACCCAATGTTATTTACCTAAAGCAGGGCCAATAAGTTAGACAGACTTAACCCTTTATGGCCTGGATTTTTGTTTCTTGGTAAACTAAAGGTAAGTATTTTTATATAGAAGAGTAATGCCTCTTAAAGTAAAAACAGAAATTCCTTTAAGATATTAATCATGATCATCAAGTTTCATCAGGCATGGTGGATGTTCTTTTGATGGCAACAAATGGACAAAATGGACAAAGTTCCTTACTGAATGAAATAAAAAGCACATAGACTGGGTATGAAGAGTAACAGGTACTCACATGTGCGATTGTAAGATTCATGACAGGTACGGGCAATTTCAGCCCCGAGTTGAAGGTAGTGTTGGGTCAGGCCTTCAGGAGCGTCATCTGCCCCGAGGGCAAACATGCCTCCCGCAAAGCAGGTCAGGTGGCCCATCTTGTGTTCCAGGAGGCCCCCTTTCCATTCTGCGATGTAAGTCAGTCCGTTACGTGACTTCCGGATCAAGTGAGTCTCAATTGCCTGAAAATAATACTTATTTTCAACGTTTTGTAATCTCTTCTCAGATTTATACCAAAAACACCACAACATTAAAAAAATAAAAAAATATAAAACATCACTCACGATTGATTTGAGTTTGTTACTACAAATCCAATTCGACCTGAAATTTCATGTTATTGCTCTCTGTATATGTCCTCTAGTCTATGCCTTATTAGTTTGGTTAGTTATAATGAACACCGTTGGGCCAGCCCAGTAGGTTTTTCTCGGTTGCATGCCCAAACACCTGTAGTCCTCATACTGAAAAAGCTGTTTCCTTTTCAAAGATAGGCCACTGGTATAGTGGTAGGAGCTGCTTTACTGCATTTCCATTTTCACAAATGGAGAAACAACACAAAGCACAGGCTCTACCATGAATGGTGAACAGACCATATTTGTGTATAAAATCCAGGCTGGTGGTATTACCCCTCCTTTCTCTCTCTTAGGCTTGGAGGGGTAGCAAAACAGAGTGGGAAAAAGGAGCTGTTCTTGAGTCAATCAGATTGCTTGGCTTCAAATTCCAGCTCTGACACTTACTATCTGTAAACTTTGTGGGTAATTTGCTTACTGTATCCTTAAATCTCAGTGTCTTTATGCATAAAATGGGAATAGTAGTATCCACTGTGAAAACTGCAATATTTTGTTTATAAAGCAGTCAGTACTGTGATTAGCACTTGATAAAGGTCATTTATCATCGTCACATCTCCACTGTGGTAACACATGAATTAAATTCCTCCTTAATAATTCTTTTAAAAAGACATTAATATACAATGAATAAGTATTTTTTTTTAAAAAAGAATAAAGGTCTGTAAATTTGGGAGAAATGATGTTTACAAAAGTGGCTTGTTAAACACCTTTTATTTCTGCCCCAGGACTGTTGATATTCTTTTGAATAAACAAAATAAAATAAGCCCTTTTTTAAAAAAAAACCCAAAATTGTAGTGTAAGTGCTTGGCATTACTATTTCTAATTACTTTAACAGGAAATGCTCCCCTACGCCCCCAATTACTTCTTGGAAGGAGAAGGGCTATGATTGTGTCTATAACTGTTATACTATTATAAAAAAAGAGAGGATTTTAGGAATCACATTTGGGAATACAGGCATAGCTCATTTTATTGAGTCTTGCTTGTGCTTTGCAGATACTGCATTTTTCACAAATTGAAGTTTTGCAGTGACCCTGTGTCAAGCAAGTCTATCAGCGCTGTTTTTCCAACAGCATTTGCTCTTTTCATGTCTCGATGTCACATTTTGATAATCCGCAACATTTCAAACTTTTTCGTTATTATTATATTCGTCAGGGTGATCTGTATCAGTGATCTTTAACGTTACTATTACAACTCACTGAAGACTCAGATGACGGTTAGCATTTTTTAACTAAGGTAAGTACATTGTTTTTTTAGACATATTGCTATTGTACATTAAACAGCCTAGAGTATAGTGTAAATATTAAGTTTACACGCACGGGGCAACCAAAAATTTCATGTGACTTGCTCTACTGTGTTATTCACTTTATTGCAGTGGTCTGGAACTGAACCCACAATATCTCCAAGGCATGCCTGTGGTAGATAGAGACAAAACTTGTGATACAGAAGAATGAATGAAAATGAATGCATAGGTAGATAAAACCTCTCCTTCCTTTATTGGAAGTAAACAAATGAAACCAAGATGGTAAGAAATAAATGAACGCACTACTGTGCACATTAACTGTGGTTAAGCTAATTTTATTGATGGTCTAGTTATTACATTAATATTTCATTCTTATTTAATGCAACTGAACATCTTAGCTATTTATACTTCTCATAGCACAAATTGCAGTAAAGTCCTTCAAGCAGATACTTGTTCATCACCCAAGAAATTATTCTTTCTACATGGCAAGAATAATAGCTTTTGAGCATGCATTAGGGAAACATTATTACCCTGTTACAGATCCTGAATAAAGTACTATATTATTTTTGGCATGATTCTGACCAAGTTGCTATCTCTCAAAATAAATTACAACGAAGTTCCAAGACTTTTAAAACAATGTTTGTGTGGCAATGGGAAAATGTAAATAAATATACAGGAGGAAAAAACAGTCTTTAGTGGCTCTAAAAAATTTTGTGTCAAGCCTACAGAGAATTGATTAGGAAAAAAGAGTATTGTATATTTTGTGATTTCATCCTTCTATATTTGAAAAAAATTAGTTGGCTGTGCCTATAGAATCCTAAATGCCTAATACATCACCTGCCCAGGTATCATTCACTCCAATGGACTTTCTTGCAGCATGAGCAACCACCACTATGGATTCTTAGTATGGCCTCCAGATGAGGCCATAACAGCCAGTTGAAAACTCAAAGTATTTCGTTATTAACACAACGAAAGAAAACATGCCACTCTGGGATTAAATGATTTCCAAAATGCACTGGAAGCTAAAACTGATGGACTACATCTCCAGTAACTCAACTGTCCAGAACAATATTTTAAGGCATCCTCTCTTTCATAATAATGATATTTTAAAGTACAAGCAATACAAAGAAACTTTACTATGAAAGACACGACTACTTCTTAAAATCAGAAGCGTAGCTGTTCTAGCTTTGCTTTCTATGTTGAAAACACACAATGGATTGAAAGTGTTTTTACTATTAAGAGAAAGAGGAAACACTTTGACTTCATCTGCTCTTAATGGATTTTCCTGTCAATGGTTTGTCTAAATACAATATGCTAAAAGCTCTGTGGGTATAGTTCTCAAAACGGGAGGAAAAGTATTTCAAAGAGTATTTTAAAGTTGTCTTTCCTGGAACATCAAGATCCTAGGGGGCCACTTTAAAAATTAGAATAATTAAAATGTCTGCCAGGACTGTAATTAAAAATGACATAATGGAAACCATACTGTATGGAGAACTCCCTGGTTTAAAACCTGAAACCTCATAGGAATGAAGAAAAATAAACCTGAAGAGGCCATATGGACCATATCCTAGTTTGCTTTTAATGTTTATCATGTCCTTTAAAGGCTGTGCGAAATGAAGGCCAATGTTCTAACTAAGGTGTCTGGTTCCTATATGTGAAATAGTAAAGAGTTGTGTCTGCTCTACTTAGTCAAGTTCACTACTGACCTTGGAGGGAACCAACGTAATATTAAATCCAGTCAACTAGAGCAGTGCAAGTTGTATTTATATTTAAACAATTAAGTTGGTCTATTGTAAAATCACCCAGAATTCCCTTTAGGGACACTTACTTTAGAACAATGGCAACATCACTGGAATTACAAATATCCATTTTTTCCCCTAAGAATTATTATTATTATTATTTTTTTTTTGCGGTATGCGGGACTCTCACTGTTGTGGCCTCTCCCGTTGTGGAGCACAGGCTCTGAACGCGCAGGCTCAGCAGCCATGGCTCACAGGCCTAGCCACTCCGCGGCACGTGGGATCTTCCCGGACCGGGGCACAATCCCATGTCCCTGCATCGGCAGGCGGACTCTCAACCACTGCACCACCAGGGAAGCCCTATTATTGTTATTTTTTAAAAATTCTAATTTCATATCTAAACTATGTAAGAGGCTGAGCCCAACAGGACATCTCCCACATAAGGCCACTTCTCTAAGATTAGGATATGTAAGTTACCTACCTAACACATAGAAATAAACATAGAGAATTGGGAAAAGGGGGAGACAGAGAAATATGATCCAAATGAAGGAACAAGACATAGCTTCAGAACAAGAACCAAACAAAGTAGAGATAAGCAATATACCTGATAAAGAGTTCAAAGTGATGATCATAAAGATGCTCACTGAACTCAAGAGAAGAATGGATAAATACAGTGAGAATTTCAACAACAAAGAGTTAGAAAATATTAGGAAGAGACAGAGCTGAAGAATACAATAACGGAAATAAAAAAATATACTAGAAGGAATAAACAGTACGTTAGATGATACAGAGGAATGAATTAGTGATCTGGAAGACAGAGAAGTAGAAATCACACAAAGTTGAACAGAAAGGAGATAAAAAAAGAAATTAAAAAGTGAGGTTAATCTAAGAGATCTCTGGCACAACATCAAGCATACTAACATTTGCATTACAGGGTCCAAGGAGGAGAAGAGGGACAGGAAGGGACAGGGAACTTATCTGAAGAAACAATGGCTAAAAACTTACCTAACCTGGGAAAGGAAACAAACATCCAGGCCCAGGAAGCAAAGAAAGTCCCAAACAAGACACACCAAGGCACATCATAATTAAAATGGTAAAAATTAAAGATAAAGACTCTTAAAAGCAGCAAGAGAAGGGCAACTAGTTACCTACAAGACAAGTCTCATGAAACTATCAGATGTCTCCTCAGCAGAAACACTGCAGGCCAGAAAGGAGTGGCACAGTATATCTAAAGTGATGAAAGGGAAAAGCCTATAACAAGGAATACTCTTCTTAGCAAAGTTATCATTCAGATTTGAAAGAGAGATAAAGAGTTTTACAAACAAGCAAAAGTTGAAAGAATTTAGCACCACTAAACTGGCTTTATAAGAAATGTTAAAGGGACTCCTCTAAGCAGAAAAGAAAAGGCCACAACTAGAAATATAAAAATTATGAGAGGAAAAACATCACTGGTAAAGACAAACAGATAGTAAAGGTAGTCGATCAACCACATAAAGCTAGTAAGAAGGTTAAAAAACAAAAGTAGTAAAATCATATATATCCATAATAAGTAGTATGGATACACAAAACAAAAAGATGTAAAATATGACATCAAAAACATTACATGTGGTGGGGGAAATAAAAATGTAGAGTGGTTAGAACGTATTCAAGCTTAAGAGATCATCAACTTAAAATAATCATATAAATGATGTTCAATATGAACCTCTTGGTAATTACAAACCAAAAACCTATAATAGATACACACACTCAAAAAAGAGGAAGGAACACAACATAAAGCTAACGACTGTAATCAAATCACAAGGGAAGAGAGCAAAAGAATAAGAAAGAAACAAAAAAGAACTACGAAAACAATGAACAAAATGGCAAAAAGTACATACGTATAATAATTATTTCAAGTGTAAATGGACTAAATGCTCTTATCAAAAGATATAGAGTGGCTGAATGGATGAAAAATCAAGACCCATATATATGCTGCCTACAAGAGACTCATTTCAGATCTAAAGGCACACAGACTGATAGATAAAAAAGGTTATTCCATGCAAATGGAAATGGAAAGAAATCTGGAAGCAATACCATATCAGACAAAATAGAATTGAAACAAAGACTGTAAAAAGAAACAAAAAAGGACATTACATAATGATCAAGGGATCAATCCAAGATGAAGATATAATAATTGTAAATATATATGCTCCCAACATAAGACCACTTAAATACATAAGCAAATATTAACAGACATAAAGGGAGAAATTGACAGTAACACAATAATAGTAAGGGACTTAAACATCCCACTCACATCAATAGGCAGGTCATCCAGAAAGAAAATAAGGAAACACTGACCTTAAGTGACACATTAGACTAAAGAGACTTAATAAATAGATAATTTAAGAAAACTGAGATTATATCAAGCAACTTTTCTCACCACAACGCTATGGGACGATAAATAAACTACAAGAAAAAATGCAAAAAAACATAAACATGTGGAGGCTAAACAATACACTAGCAACAACCAGTGGATCACTGAAGAAATCAAAGAAGAAATAAAAAAATACCTGGAGACAAGTGAAAATGTAATCACACTGATCTAAAATCTATGGGACACAGAAAAAGCAGTTCTAAGAGGGAAGTTTATAGCAATACAAGCCTACATCAAGAGACAAGAAAAATCTCAAATAAACAACCTAAACTTACACCCAAGGAAAACAGAAAAAGAACAAACAAAACCCAAAGTTAGTAGAGCAGAAATAAATAATATAGAGACCAAAAAACCACAATAACAATAGAAAAGATCAAAGAAACTAAGACCTGGTTCTTTGAAAAGATAAACAAAATTGATAAACCTTTAGCCAGACTCATCAAGAAAAAAAGAGAGGGCCCAAATAAATGAATCAGAAATGAAAGAGGAGCAGTTAAAATGATACCATGGAAATAAAAAGGATCATAAGAGATTATTATGAACATTTATATGCCAATAAAATGGACAACCTAGAAGAAATGAAAAAATTCCTAGAAATATATAATCTCCTAAGATGGAATTGGAAATATAAATAGAAAATATTAATAGACCAATTACCAGTAAAAAAATTGAATCAGTAATATAAAAAAAAGTTCCAACAAACAAAAGTTTGGAATCAGTTGGCTTCATGGGTGAATTCTACCAAACATTTAGAGAAGAGTTAACACCTATTCTTCTCAAACTATTCCAAAAACTGAAGAAGGAATGCTTCTGAAATTCTATACGGCCAGTTTTACCCTGATACCAAAACAAAACAAAACAAAACAAAACAAACAAAAAAAATACAGGCCAATATCAGTGATCAATATAGATGATAAAATCCTCAACAAAATATTAGCAAACCAAATTCAACAATAAATGAAATGGATCATACACCATGATCAAGTGGGATTTATCCCAGGGATGTGAGGATGGTGTAATATCTGCAAATCAATCAATGTGCTATACTACATTAACAAATTGGAGAATAAAACTCATATGATCATCTCAATAGATGTAGAAAAAGCTTTTGACAAAATTCAACATCCATTTATGATAAAAACTCTCAACAAAGTAGATACAGAGGGGATATACCTCAAGATAATTAAGCCCATATATGACAAATCTATAGCCAACAGCATAATAAATGATAAAAAGCTGAAAGCAAGAAGATCAGGAACAAGGCAAGGATGCCCATTCTTGTCACTTTTATTCAACATAGTTTTGGAAGGCCTAGCCACAGCAAATAGACAAGAAAAGTCCAAATTGGAAAGGAAAAAGTAAAACTGTCACTTTTTGCAGATGACATACTATATATAGAAAAATCCTAAAGACACTACCAAAGAAGCAGGACTGGGCTTCCCTGGTGGCGCAGTGGTTGAGAGTCCATCTGCCGATGCAGGGTACACGGGTTCGTGCCCCGGTCCGGGAGGATCCCACATGCTGCGGAGTGGCTGGGCCTGTGAGCCGTGGCCGCTGAGCCTGCAAGTCCGGAGCCTGTGGCCCGCAACGGGAGAGGCCGCAACAGTGAGAGGCCCGCGTACCGCAAAAAAAAAAAAAAAAAAAAGGACTAATAAATAAATTCAGTAAAATTGCAGGATACAAAATTAATATACAGGTATCTGTTGCATTTCTATACACTAATAACAGACTATAAGAAAGATAAATTAATAAAACAATCCCATTTATGACTGCATAAAAAGTGTAAAATACCTAGGAATATATCTAATCAAAGAGGTAAAAGACTTGTACTCTGAAAAGTATAAGACATCAATGAAAGAAACTGAAGACAACACAAGCAAATGAGAAGATATACCATGGTCATGGATTGGAAGAATAAATATTGTTAAAATGACCATACTACCCAAGGCAATCAATAGATTCAATGCAATCCCTATCAAAATACCAAAGACATTTTTTATAGAACCAGAACAAATAATTCTAAAATCTGTATGGAACCACAAAAGATCCCAAATAATCAAACCAATCTTGAGAAAGAAGAACAAAGCTGGAGGTATTAGACTCTCTGCTTTCAAACTATACTACAAAGCTACAGTAATAAAAACAGTACGGTACAGTCACAAAAACAGAAACATAGATCAATGGAACAGAATAGAGAGCCCAGAAATAAACCCATGCTTACATGGTCAATTAATCTATGATAAAGGATGAAAGAATATACAGTGAGAAAAAGATAGCCTCTTCAATAAATGGTGATGGGAAAACTGGACAGCTACATGCAAGAGAATCAAACTGGACTACTTTTTCACACCATATATAAAAATAAATTCAAAATTGATTAAAGATTTAAGTGTAGACCTGAAACTATAAAACTCCTAGAAGAAAACACTGGCAGTGCACTCTTTTGACATTGGTCTTAGCAATATATATATATACACACACACATATAGATGTGTGTGTGTGTGTGTGTGTGTATATATATATATATATATATATTTTGATCTGTCTCCTCAGGGATGGAAAATAAAATAAAAAATAAACAAGTGAGACTACAACAAACTAAAAAGCTTTTGCACAGTGAAGGAAACTAACCAAAAAAAAAAAAAGTGAAAAGGCCACCTACTAAATGGGAGAAGATATTTGAAAATATATCTGATAAGAGATTAATATCCAAAATACACAAAGAACTCATACAACTCAACAAATAACCAGATTAAAATGGACAAAAGACCTGAATAGACATTTTTCCAAAGAAGATGGAAGGCAGAGAGATGGCCAACAGACACATGAAAAGATGCTCAAGATCACTAATCATCAGGGAAATGCAAATGAAAATCACAATGAGGTAACATCTCACACCTGTCAGAATGGCTATCATCACAGACAGCAAATAACATGTGTTGGTGAGGATATGAAGAAAAGGGAATCCTTGTGCACTATTTTGGGATTGTAAATTGGTGCAGCCACTATAAAACTGCCATACGATCCAGCGATTTCACTTTAGGGTATTTATCTGAAGAAAACAAAAACACTAATATGGAAAGATATATGCACCTGCATGTTCACTGCTGCATTTTTTCCCATAGCCAAGAAATGGAAGCAACCTAAGTGTTCAAATGGGTGGTTGCCAGAGGGGAGGGGGATGAGGGAGCAGGAGAAATAAGTGAAGAGGATTAAGAGGTACAAACCTCCAATTATAAAATAAGCCACAGGGATGCAATATACAGCATAAGGAATATGGTCAATAATATTGTAATAACTTTGTATGGGGACAGATGGTTACTAGACTCATTGTGGTGATAATTTCATAACATATACAAATGTCAAATCACTATATAGTACACCTGAAACTAACATAATATCATACATCAACTACACTTCACTTAAAAAAAACTATTTAACACAACATTGTTAATCAATATAAAATAAAAAATTTAAAAAACTATTTAAGGAAACAAACACTACATAAAGTATCTACCTAACACACTACTTAGTTCACAGAAGGTAATTCAAATATTTATTCACTCTCATTCCTCCTCCATCACAAAGGACCTTTGAAAACTATTAATAATCTTTGATTAAATATTAGTTTGGTTAGTTCAGATTTTTTTTTTTTTTTTTTTTTGCAGTACGTGGGCCTCTCACTGTTGTGGCCTCTCCCCATTGCGGAGCACAGGCTCCGGACGCGCAGGCTCAGCGGCCATGACTCATGGGCCCAGCTGCTCCGCGGCATGTGGGATCTTCCCGGACCGGGGCACAAACCCGTGTCCCCTGCATCGGCAGGCGGACTCTCAACCACTGCGCCACCAGGGAAGCCCGCAGATTTTTATTTGAAAGTACTATTTATCTCTGGAGGTAAGTTTACTTCAAAGAGAGGTAACCATTAGGATTGTCTGTAATCTCGGGCAATTTTAACTTCCTCAATTTTTAGAATATATAATAAATTCAGGATTTTTTCCTCTCCATAATTTTAACTGTGACTCTAATAGGGAACTCATACTTGTTGAAGAAAAATACCCTTTTTAAGATGTGTGAATCTTAACTGAGGTTTGAACCATGGAAAAAACTTTTAACTACCCTATTAGAACTAAACATTATCAAGTATGATTATTATTGTTATAATTATATTAGCACATATTGAACTCTATCTAACTGGAAACATTTTTTAACCCACTCAGGTAGTATTCCATTTTTTCATTAAAGCTTGATTAATATGCAAGTTATAAGTTAGTTGAGTGGCAACGATGATTTAAATTTGGGTTTACCTTAATAGCATCGAAATACATCTTCTTAGCTTGTAGATCTGTCTTGTCAGACATTAACCATGCCTTTAGCAAATATTCATAAAAGCTGTCTCCAAGTCCTCCAACTGATACGTGATCTGCAAAGAGAGGGAAATGAATTTTAGACTGATTCAGACTTTAATTCAGATAATGCAGTAAGATCATATTAGTAACTAGGATGCAAAACCGTTAAGTCAACTGCAACTCAATGTTACATTTAAATTCCAACAAATCTCGTTTTCGAAAGATATTCTGAAATGAGCTGATGTGCTGTTAACTAATGTGATATACTTTAAATAATTACCAACACAGTTTTGTAAACATGCAGATAAAAAATATATAATCAACCCTAATTCTAAAACTCTGTTTCTTTAGTAAAAATACCAAATTAAAATGTTTCACCATATTCAAATATATTTTTAATTGCTTTATCTCTCAATAATAAACTATGTCAAAGCTGTGAGTATCATCAAATCTTAAAAACAACAACAAAAAAAAACTGGCTTGCAATATAACCAGAAGCTCCTCAGCTTCTTGTATTATAATTTTTATTATTTGATAGGTTTTGTAGTGTTATTAATCTGAAGGGTCAAAATCCTTTGAGAGAGGTAAGAAAGAAGACAGGGCAGGAGAAGTTTTTCTTTTTAATACAGTCACTCCTTCATATCTGTAGGTTCCCCATCAGTAGGTTCAATCAACTGTGGATTGAAAATATGATAAAAAAATTCTAGGAAGTTCCAAAAAGCAAAACTTCAACTTGCCATGCACAGCCAAATACTATTTACATGGCATTTACATTGTATTTACATAGCATTTACATTGTATTAGGTATTATAAATAATCTAGAGATGATTTAAAGTATCTGGAGGATATGCATAGGTTATATGCAAACACTGTGCCATTTTACATAAGGGACTTGAGCACCCATGAATTTTGGTATCCCTGGGGTCCTGAAACCAATCCCCTGCAGATAGGGAGGAATCAATGTACTCCATTCCTACAGTCCCTCTCCACTGTCATTTATTATGCCAGATCCACTACATATTTATATTATTGCTATACAAACAGTCTTTGACTTATAGGTAGGTAATCCTCATTAAAAGTGAGAAAACTGAGGCTTAGAGGGGCTAAATGAGATTATAACATTGGTAGGTGCCAGCTAACTCTTCAGCCCACACAGGGTCTCAAACTTGGAATCACTTGCTCTCTAACATATAACACTAAATGTACATATTCTTTTGCCTACTGTTTGAATTAATACTGTTACTTTTCAAGCATATTTACCTACAAAAACAAAGACATACTCTCTTTGAAATATCATTCCTAGAATTCATAGAGAATTTGCGTATTAATAAGATAGTCTTATTTGGGAAATTTGCATTTGAAGTTTCATAACTCGAAACTAACTTTATGTAGCTATTAAAAAAATAAAACCTTTATTAGTTGATTTAGTTACACAAAAGTAAATTGGTTTTTATACTACTATCAAGACAATTTTCTCCTGAGTCCCACCCAACAACTCCACTTGGACATGGGGACCTAAACTTGAACAATTGAACACAGGTTAAAAGTGAATGTATTATCTTTTCCTCCTCAACCTTATCTGAGCCTTGGTCCCTATCTCACTAAGTGGTGCCATCACCCTGCCAAGTCTGCACCAGTCAGACATCCAACAGTCATTCTTTACCTCTTCTCTCCTTCGCTCCCACATTCAGTGAGTTACCGAAATCTACTAATTTTACCTCCAATGTATCTCTTAAGTCCATCTACTCCTTCCTGTCCTCACTAATATGATTCTGGCCCAAGCTACCACTATGCCCTGCTTGAGTCTGCAATGGCAAATTATCTGGTCTCCTGCACTGTGACAGCATCTTGCTATTTAAACTTATTAAAATTAAAAAAAAAAAATCAGTTCCTCAGCCATACTAGTGCTCATACATGTGGCCTGTGGCTACTGCACCGAAGAGGGAAGATACAGAACATTTCCATCATCACACAAAGTTCTGATGGCAGTGCCACTCCAATCTATTTCCCACATTAATGATGCCAGAGCAACCCTTTTAACATGTGAATCAGATCAGCCCTTACTTGAAGGCTTCAATGATGAAGACTCAAATCCTGGGTCTCTGGAGACCTGGGAGGCCCTGTATGACCTCAATCTTCTCTATATTATCAGTCCTGCTCTATCTGCTCTCTGCCCTCTTGCTATATGGTCCCTCTTTTGGTTTCTCAAAACCATCAGGCTGCTTCCCACCTCAGGGATTCTAAAGGCATTGTTCTCTCTGTCTGAAGTGAGCTCCCTGATTCCTTTTCCCTTCATTTAGTAATCCTTACTCATATTTCATATCTGATGCCCACTAAGTTCTCTCATTATACACTTTCTGATAGCACACATGTACCACACCTGCACTTTCATAAGATGGTGAAATTTTTTTTGTCTCCTTCATAAGATTATATGATCCAGGAGAGCAGGGACCAGACCTATTATGTTTCCCAGTCCACATCAGCTCCTAAAAAGCATCTTGCACATAGTAGGTGCTCAGTAAAAAATTGATGAACAAAGCAAAATTCTTAAGGACTACACCTATTAAGCCCAGAAGGGCTATATTTTTAAGTAAATATGGATTTTCTTTTGCAGAAAGTCCAGAATTACAGTTTTAATTTTAATGTAAAGTTAGTCTTTTTATAATTGTAAGGCTGATCCTTAAAATAGCAGTTTGAAGTGACCTTTACAATTTCCTAAATAAATCGCCACAGAAACCTCTGACATTTACAAATTAAATAGACTAAGTACTATCTCATCGATAATAAGCCCTGTTGTTATAAACATGATTACAGGAGACAAATGCAAGTGATGTGTGGTAAAGCAAATCACTGTCCAGTTACTGTCAAAATAACGGGACTAAATGAAGTAATAGGAAATGATGGCCATGATCCAGACATGTCCTTTAGAGTTAAAGCAATGAGAGCTGAAAACTAACAGCCAGAAGCAGCTTCATTTTCTTCTCCCTTGGTTTATGATTCTATAATGAAGGAAGAAGCAAGCTTGGGCATTTGGTGATTTTTTAAAAAAGGAAAAGGTTTACATATTTGTTTTAATTAATGTTGCTAAGTGCTAGTTGATTTTCTATTTTCCTACCTATAAAATTTTTATATTTGGAAAGAATCAAAATAAAGGAACATAAAGGAACATAGAGGAGAAATAAGAAAAGGTCTTTTTGATAATTTAGCATATCACTCACTAAGCTTCCCCTATGTCTGGATGACTATTTGTGTTATCTGTGTAAATACCTTAGTGGCTGTAAGAGAGAACATGCCTGATTTTATCAGCAGGAAAGGACTGTCTACTTCTAGAAAGAACATATATGGTGTTCTTATTCCCAAATGTTCTAAACATAATGTGTATAATAGCTACTCAAATATTATGTTCTTTTATAAAAGGGGTAATGTATTCTTTTCAATAGGATTAGGTCACATAAAAGGATTCCTAATACTTAGAAAGAGAAAAAAAAATCAAAAGAATCAAGACAAAAAGGATGAAATACTCAGTATCTTCACTTAATTTTATAGACTTCATCTGAATCTGAACTTCTCTCAAAGCAATCCCCCAATGATACTAGTAACACCATATTTTATAGATACACACACACACACACACATACATATAATGTTGTTGTTTTAACTGAAGAAGGGTGATAATTGTTCTGTTTATAAGACACGGAGCCCCATATTTGGCCTCAACAGTCAAGAGAGATTATCATTGACCAGGACCAGATGCTGCCTCTCAGCCACAACTGAGGAGCAGGAGACAAATTGTTCAGAGAGGAAAAACAGAACCATTGTTAAAAGCAGAGGCAGAGGGCTTCCCTGGTGGCGCAGTGCTTGAGAGTCCGCCTGCCGATGCAGGGGACGCAGGTTCGTGCCCCGGTCCGGGAAAATCCCACATGCCGCGGAGCGGCTAGGCCCGTGAACCATGGCCGCTGAGCCTGCGCATCCGGAGCCTGTGCTCCGCAACGGGAGAGGCCACAACAGTGAGAGGCCCGCGTACCGGGAAAAAAAAAAAAAAGCAGAGGCAGATTGGATACGGACTGCATGAGTATTCACAAAACTCAAGTAAGCTCCTACTAGCTGTAAGATACTATGTGCTGAGTTAACAAATATGATGAAGTCACTGTCCTCAAAAGTTTTGGATCCATAGGAAGATGGGTATGTATATGAATCATTAGGAAAAGACTGTGATAGGAAAGTACCCAAAGGGTTGGGACAGAGGAGGAAGAAGGGGGCGGGCAGAGGAGAAGTGGGTGCTAACAATTTCCAAGCAGTGTCTTGAAGAAAGCCACCTAGAAGAAATGGAGATTGGGCTGGTTCTTGGTAGAGCCAGAAGTGCAGTAAAAGGGCTGAGGAAACAGCACAAGCCAAGACCTGGATGTGGCCAAGCAGACCTTGATTAAAGAATAAAAAAAAGTGTGTCTTCCTTGTGGCTGGAACACAGGATGGGGGTGTGGGAAGAGAGACAGGGGACTCATGAACCCTATTTGTTTTTCCATCAGGAATTGGCCCATAAACAATCCAATTACAAAGGGCCCTTTGTACCACGAAGCATGGCCAAATACGTAGTGTATCAGTGACCCAGAAGGTGAAGCTGGGATGTTCTAGAACAACTGACTTTTTGTCCCTCTTCATAGTGACCTCTAAATCCTATATCACAGAAAGAGAAAAGTAAATCATAGAGACTTTTCTTCAACTTTTGAAATCTTTCGTGAGAAGGAGAACTTTAAAAACGCTTGTCCTTTCAGAGAATCGTATCTAGTTATCTTGAACTCAGAAAGCTACTCAGGTTCTCTTTTATCCCAAATACTAGAGTGGCCCTCACACTTTTTAGCCTCAGCACCCTTTAACACTCTCAAAAACGAATAAGCACCCTAAAGAACTTGTTTATGTAATATCTATCAATATTTACCATATTGGAAATGAAAACAGAATTTAAAATATTTTATTAATTTATTTGAAGTAATAATATACCCATTATATTAATATATAGATTTTTCATAAGAATATGTTACATTTTACAAAACAAAAATAATTAGTGGGAAGACTGATACCACTTTACATTTTTGCAAATCTCTTCAATGTCTGCTGTACTAGAAGACAACTGGATTTTCATATCTGCTCTACATTCAATCTGCTGCTGTATGTTGTTCTGGCTGAAATATATGAAGAAAATTCAGCCTCACACATTTGTACAGTTGGAAAGCAAAGAGTATTTTGATAGTCTTTTCAGATAATTGTGGGTAATTTTTCTTTGGTACTACAACAAAACTTGACAGGTGGTCAAGGTTTTTTAACAGTTGCAATGTGGAGTTAGAAACCACATCAATTAATTTTTGTACTATTACATTAAAATCCATTGGGCCATCTTGCACTTTGAATGCACCTTTTCTCACACATGATTTTATAGCAGCATGCATTGGTCATTTGGAAAATATTGGTTCACTGAATTATGCACATCTTCCAGACGTTGATACATTTGATTATACAACATTGAAAAACCATATTTGTTAATATCATCACCAATCTCAGAAGAGGCTTTTAGTGTTGGTGAAAGACATTAAGGCTATGGTGGCAATGTGCAAGCTTTTCAAAATTCTAATTTTCATTTAGAAGCTCAAGTTTTACCTTTGGCACAGATACTGTTAGTTTTGCTTGAAGCAACGTGCTCACTTTTGCGACCACGTCTATCAATTACCCAAGTCTGAATAACCAGTTTGTCTTCAGTAGTTCTTTCAAGTAAAAATGGTGACTTGTGAAACAACATGCGGCTAGTTCAGCTTGCAACTCAATCACACGAGTACTTTTCTATGAGGCAACCACTATTTTTCATCATGCAGCAGAAACACCTTAAGCGTCCTTTCCATTTAATCATACAGAATATTACAATGATGTGTACTCAATGATTGAGATTTACTAGAATCAGTAAATTTTTTGCTTCATTAAGAGCATTCATGAGTGAAACTGGCATCTCTTTATTTGTTATCTGCAGTGAAGGATATGATCACAGGTATATCTCACTTTATTGCCCTTTGCTTTATTGCCCTTTGCAGAGCGGACACTTCGTTTTATAAAAATTGAAAGTTTGTGACAACCCTGCATTAAGCAAGTCTATCAGCATCATTTTCCCAACACCATTTGCTCACTTTGTGTCTCTGTTTGAAAATTTTCACAATATTTCTTTTTCATTACTATTATATTTTTACGGTCTATGTGATCAGTGATCTTTGACATTACCATGACTTACTGAAGGCTCAGAAGATGGATAGCATTTTTTAGCAATAAAGTATTTTTACATTAAAGTATATACAGTGTTTTTAGACATAATACTACTGCATACTTAATGGACTACAGTATAGTGTAAACATAACTTTTTTTTTTTTTTGCGGTACGCGGGCCTCTCACTGTTGTGGCCTCTCCTGTTGCGGAGCACAGGCTCCGGACGCGCAGGCTCAGCGGCCATGGCTCACAGGCACAGCCGCTCTGCGGCATGTGGGATCTTCCTGGACCGGGGCACGAACCCGTGTCCCCTGCATCGGCAGGCAGACTCTCAACCACTGCGCCACTGGGGAAGCCCCCTAAACATAACTTTTATATGCACTGGGAAATTTAAAAGAATGTGTGACTAGCTTTATTGTGATATTTGATTTATTGCAGTGGCCTGGAACTGAACCCACAATGTTTCTGAGGTATGCCTGGTGTTAGTACTATCTGGTGTCTCTGCCATGGCTATCACTATGGCTTCAGCAGTTTTGCCCACCATTGCTTTTGCAATGTAACTGCAACTGTCAGCACAGTAAAAAAGGCAGAAAGTCTTAGTGTTATTATAAAAATATAATAAGCTTTGATTGTGTAGATCCCCTGTGAGATTTCAGCGATATCTAGTGATCTGCAGATCACACTTAGGTTAAGTGGCAACCTTGACTATGGTGTTGTGGTCTCAATGCTAGGGCCTTCCATAGACATTATTAACACAGACAAAGATTTTAGCACATTTTTTCTACTACATTATTCTTTAAGAAAAATACTTCTAAAGTAGCAGTGAGGCATAATCATCTAGGAATATCATATTTAAATATAAAGAAAAAAACTCAAATTAGAGTAAAATTTCAAGACGTCGCTAACATCTGCGGCACAGCTAGACATCTCACTTAGGATTTTTCATTTGCTCTCAGGTGCTGCTTAATCTACCACTGTTTTTCCAAATCAGCTTGAGAACATTTCTTTCAGCTACTCTGCATCTTTATATGCCTGGTTAAAGTCCCTAAGGATCTGAAGTGAGGGCTTCTAGCACAATACTTTCTTCTATGGTGAAGTTGGCTCTCCTGGCAGGAAGCCTTTATCTGCTGGCTTAAAATTGACTAAAGCACCCTGTTTGCTCTTACAATTTCTCAACCCTTAAAGACTCAGTCTCCCCTCCCATCCTGTAGCCAAACAGAAAGAGAAAATGTTATGAAATAGAATACTCTAGCTAATCTGGGTAAACCCTGCTAGTCATTAGCACAAAGGAACAATTTTCTTATCTATATAACCAGTTTATTATAGGCTAGCATCCCCACAGTACCCTGACCAGATATTCCCTTTCTGATTAACAGCTTTAAATGTGCTTACAGATCATCATGCTCACAGTTATGCATGAAAAATGAACAATCTAGTTCCCCTAGTAACACTTACAGTCTGTCTTATGATAGAAGCCTATTTATTAAAGGAACCATGCTCCCTTTCCCCTTTTCTAAAGATTCTCCAACAAGAGTGCTTTTCTTGGTGTTCCTTCTCTCTGTTACTAGAACAGTGCTGGGTATCATAAAGAGCTAAAACAATGCTTAACTTTTTTTTATTATTAATTACTGAAGTATAGTTGCTTTACAATGTTGTTAGTTTCTGTTGTACAGCAAAGTGAATCAGCTATACATATATGTGTGTCCCCTCTCTTTTTCATTTAATTTTAATTTAATTTAATTAATTATTTATATTTTTTTGGCCGAGTCGCATCTTAGTTGCGGCACATGGGATCTTTGTTGAGGCATCAGGATTTTTCCTTGCGGCACGCGGGCTTCTCTCCAGTTGTGGTGTGCAGGCTTCTGTCTAGTTGTGGCATGCAGGTTTTCTCTCTCTAGTTGTGGCACAGGGGCTCCAGAGTGCGTGGGCTCTGTAGTTTGTAGCACTTGGGCTCTCTAGTTGAGGCGCACAAGCTCAGTAGTTGCGGCGCATGGGCTTAGTTGCCCCGCGCCATGTGGGATCTTAATTCCCCTACCAGAGATCAGAGCTGGGTCCCCCGCACTGGAAGGCGGATTCTTTACCACTGAACTACCAGGGAAGTCCCTATATCCCCTCTCTTTTGGATTTGCTTCTCATTTAGGTCATCACAGAGCACTGAGTAGAGTTCCCTGTGCTATACAGTAGGTTCTCATTAGTTATCTATTTTATACATAGTAGTGTATATCTGTCAATCCCAATCTCCCAGTTCATCACACCACCATCCACCCCCCACCCCTGGTATCCATACTTCCATCCTCTACGCCTGTGTCTCTACTTCTGCTTTGCAAAAAGTTCATCTGTATCAACAATGCTTAACTTTTGACTTACATTGAGCCCATTGTCCACTATTGGGATTCAGATAGTTAGGATAAAGGCCTTGTGGTTTTTCCAGGTTGTTCAGTACTGTTCGAATATTCATTACCTACAATAGAAAATGGAATGTTACTATGAAAATATGAAAAACAAGTTTGGTGCCATTCTTCTCTCTTTCTTGATTACATTTTTCCATGTTAGGAAAAAAACCCATTGATTTAAATGATGCAGAATTAGAGCAAAGAGAGTTGCCACCAGCTTACAAAAATAATAACTGTAAGTGAATACAGTCTACCATATGCCAGACACCATAGAAGAAACTAGGATGTATCAGTGGATAAACAAAGTCATTACCATTTTGGAATTTGCATCCAGTGGAGTGAGACAGATAACAAACAAATAAATATATCAGGTGGTAATAAATGCTATGAAAAAAATACAAAAGAGTAATGGGACAGAGTGATGTGAGGTGGTGAGGCTGTACTCTGTTAGTCAGGGTGGTCTGGGGAGGCTACTGGGAGATGGTTTCAGCAGAAATTTAAAGGAATGAAGGAGTAAGTCATGCAGAGCAATGGAGGAAGAGCACGTGGGCAGAAGGAAGAGCAAGTACAAAAAAGTTCTGAGAAAAGAGTGGGTTTGGCAAGACCACCAAGGGTGGAGGTGAGGAAGTGAAGGGGAGAATGTCAGAGAGCCTAGAGGTGGCCAGGGCCCACATCTTGCAGGCCTCACAGACCATAATGTGGGCTTATCTTATTCTGAGTGTGACGCAAAGCCATTGAAAACTTGTGTTTTTACAGGATCGGTGTGACTGAGGGGGCAAGGGAGGAAGTGGTAGTCAGATGGCTACTGCACAGTCCAGGTAAGAGATGACGGATCCCTGGACTAGGGTAGCAGCACAGGTAACGGGATACAAAGGATTTCTTCATGGATTGGATCTGAGGTTTACCAAAAAGAGAGGAACCAGGATGACCTCAAGATTTCTGGTCTGAGACATTGGGTAAACTGAGGCGTCTTTACCCAGATAATGAAGACTAGAGTAAAAGCCAGTGTAAGGGCTGTCTGAGACATTTTAAGTGGGAGTTGTCTGATAGACCTTTCAGTGGAAATGTTGAATAGGTACTTAGCTATAGAGCCTGGAGTTCAGGGGACAGGTTGGAATTGGAATTACAAATGTGGAGTTAACAGCCTACAGACAGTATGTAAAGTCATGAGGTTGGATGAAATAATGGAGAAAGTGAATGTAAAAAGAAGAGGCCCCGGTTTGAGTCCTGGGGTTTTCCAATGTTTAGAGGTTGGGGTGATAAAGAAGTTCCAATATAGGAGACTGAAAAGGAGCACCTGGCAAAGACAGAGGTAAGCCAGGGGCAGAGAATGCCCGTGGAGAAGTGATCAAGTGTGCCGATGCTGAGAGGGAGAGGGAGAGGGAGAGGGGGAGGGAGGGGGAGGGGAGGGAGGGGGGGGG